AACATCAAACGGGGAATCCGGGATCCCGAGCTGGGATTATTTCCAGCGGGTAGCCGGTGGGTGAAGGGTCACCCGCCGGCGACAAGTCTCCGGGCAACGGGTGCCCGGCGGGCAGTCGCCTGCCCGCCGGCTGCCCGCTGCCGGCGACGTCAATTATGGCCGCGGGTAGGTGGCGGGTCCCTTACCCCCACCTACCCCCCACTGACTCTCTTTCAGAATAAACGCCCCAGGATCCATTGTGGAACCCGAAACCATGCTTAGACACTTTTAAACGCAATTGATGACAGCACGTAGACAATTAACGGATCAAAAGCGAGAAACGTACGGCACGTACCCTATCATGCTTCCTAAATACAATTAACGCCCAAACATGCGAATTCCCACCCAATATATCAAGAATAACACCACACGAGTTTCACGATACATCCTAGGGCTCTAATTATATTTAACTCATCAAGAACGTAATTCATCCTATAACATCAAGAACCAATACAATTCATCAAGAATATCACATAATCATTAAGAATCCGAATTCCTCAAGAATATCACACAATCATCAAGAAACCCTTATCATCATCAAGATTATCAAGATAAAACCATATCACCAATTATCAAGATCACATCATCAATATCATAAACAATTCATCAAGACACAAGAATATAGGAGGGATGCCTAAGATGGAGATCATAGCTAAGAAAATAGGTTTTGTTGAGACATGGGTTACCTCTTAGCCTTAATTAATTTCCTTGGCTATGAAGGGTCTTTCTCTAAGTCTTTCTTCTTTCTTGATTCCTCCTAGGGGAATTCTTAGAACTCCTTGTGTGGTGAGAGATTATTGTGGTGGGGTTTCTAGGTGCCTCCTATGTCCCCTATTTATATATCTAAGAGTCCTAATTAGGGCCCAATACTATAGGCTTGCTAACTCTATTCCTTTTAGGACTAGGGGTTGGGTTTAGAGGTGAGGGCCCACGGACTATGGTGGGCCTTTTCCTAATTAATTATTGTAATTTAATTCTTTCTTTGGATAATTGGTTAAATGATTAATTGGTTTTAGGGGTCGAAACACGGGGTGTTACAGTTGATTTCCCTTGTTCTCTTTAAGAGTGAAACAGAGTCTTTGCAGTTGACTTCTCTCTATGACTTTTGAATTGATATATACTGTATTCTGTTTCGAAAATGGTTTTGTTTTATACTATACATGTATGCTACTTAATGCGTATTGATGGGTTACCAGCAATATTCGTTGACCGGGCGTCGTCCCCTTTCTTTATGTTGCTTTACAGGTCCTGAGTAGATATGGCGAGTGCGCTAGCTGTTGGTTGTAGTGTAGCTCCCTTGAACTTTGTAGATAGTGTTTTGGGTCTTTGTGCCATGGTAGTTGAACAAGATAGATTGTTAGTTTTAGACTTGCCTGTGCATCCACGTTGAGGTGGATGTGGCATAACACTTCCTTGTTTTCTCCGTTTTAATCTAAGACTTTCGCTATTAATTAAGTTTTATATTACCTGTTAGTTACCTTGCCTTACGTAATTAAGTTTTTAAAATGTCGTGAAAATCGGGGATGTTACACGACCAACCCGCCAAACCAGACCGACCTGAACCCGACACGAATAGGTGGTTTGAAACCCGAACCCGAAATGCCAAATCCGATCTGTTGCATTGGAAGATGTGGTTTAATGAAGTCGGGTAAGGGGGGTATAATTTCCACCCGAACCCGTCCGATTATCCGATTTATGGTAAGGGTTGGTATACCCTATGTAATATGACGTCGTGTAGGAGTAGTATATATTATGCGTTGAAGGGCTGAAGGCTGAAACGATAGGTCATTTGCGCAGCTCTTCCCTTCTAGCTTCTTCCAGAGAACTCTCTCGTTCTCTGACTTCTCTCTTCTCTCTACTCTGAAAACCTAGTTCTCTCACAGAGTCACAGTCATTTCTCCAGTTCTCTGAGTTCTCTCATTCTCTCTTGAGTCTCTTCTAGTCTTCTGCCCTTCTCTCAATCTCTAAAAGTGTGAGTCTCCGGTGGAAGCTATTATTCTTCGGTGGAAGCCCCATTCCTTTTCGGTAACCCTTGACCTCTAACTGGTGCGGTACTGCAGTGGGTTGCATATTGCTGGCTAGGAATCGAAGCCCTTTGTTCTCGGGGGTTTAATTTGGAGAAATAAAGTAATCTCTAAACCCTAATTTATAGATTATTACATTATAGTCTTATATATTGTGATTTGTGTGGACTATGATAATGTGATCTGTTGAGAAGTTCCAGATTGCATGTCACTTGTCCCTAATTTGTGATACTTTGATTAGGGTTTCTGTGATTGTGATTTGTGTGGATTGTGATAATGTGATCTGTTGAGAAGTTCCAGATTGCATGTCACTTGTCCCTAATTTGTGATACTTTGATTAGGGTTTCTATGATTGTGATTTGTGTGGACTACATGTGATAATGTGATCTGGTGAGAAGTTCCAGATTGCATATCACTTGTCTCTAATTTCTGATACTTTGATTAGGGTTTATGTGATTGTGATTTGTGTGGACTGTGATAATGTGATCTGTTGAGAAGTTCCAGATTGCATGTCACTTGTCCCTAATTTGTGATACTTTGATTAGGATTTCTGTGATTGTGATTTGTGTGGACTGTGATAATGTGATATGTTGAGAAGTTCCAGATTGCAAGTCACTTGTCCCTAATTTTTGATACTTTAATTAGGGTTTCTGTGATTGTGATTTGTGTGACTGTGATAATGTGATCTGTTGAGAAGTTCGAGATTGCATGTCACTCATCCCTAATTTGTGATACTTTGATTAGGATTTCTGTGATTGTGATTTGTGTGGATTGTGATAATGTGATCTGTTGAGAAGTTCCAAATTGTATGTCACTTGTCCCTAATTTGGGATACTTTGATTAGGGTTTCTGTGATTGTGATTTGTGTGGACTGTGATAATGTGATCTGATTATGGTTTCTATGATTGTGATTTGTGTGGACTGTGATAATGTGATCTGTTGAGAAGTTCCAGATTGCATATCACTTGTCCCTAATTTGCGATACTTTGATTATGGTTTTTGTGATTGTGATTTGTGTGGACTGTGATAATGTGATCTATTGAGAAGTTATAGATTGCATGTCACGTGTCCCTAATTTGTCCCTAATTTGTGATTTGTGTGGACTGTGAGTTTGTGATAATGTGAATCTGTTGCTGGAAGCCCTATCTCCTATGGCCTTGTGCCCCTGTGTGAAATTCATATAAATGATGAGCATTATAAATTTATAATTTATAAGTCTGAATCTGTTGAGATATTTTAGTCTTCCAGATTGCATGTCATTCACTTACTTGTCCCTTAAAGGAGTTAAAACCTTAAAGGCTTAAAGGGTTAATTAATTGCCCCTAATCTGGTGGAAGCCCTAGCCCCTGTGTGGAATCCATATAAATGATGAGCATTATAAAGTAGCATACATCTACTTAGCTTGAATACCTGACTATGGATTTCTTTTTAAATTGTAAGTTGTAAGTGTGAAACTGTGCAAGTATTAAGTTTATAGATATGTGACCCTTAAATCATTTATGTGCAATTCTGCATACATAATGAAATGTGCAATTAACTGAATTCAGCATATTTACGTAGTTATATGAATATGCGGTAATGTGCATGCTTGATGCCTTTGTCCATAATTGTTGATGATCTTCCATTAGTGATTTCCCACTGATACTTTTCCTTTTTAGATGGAAAGTATTAATGGTCTATTTGGAAGTCAACCTGAGGCGGAAGCCACAGTTGTAGAGACAAATCCATCTCAGTCTCAGCAGCCTTTGCCTCCACCTATTCCAAAGAAAAGGAAAGAGGTTGAGACCATATCTCTTGTATGGGATCACTTTGAATGATCAAAGACAATGAGGGCAATGTGACCAAGGCAAAATATTTATACTGTGCTAGGCAGTTTTCATGTGAGTCCAAGAAACATGGGACTTCTTCTCTCAGAAATCATATTTTAAACTGCCTTAAAAATCCTTACTCTAACGATACAAAGCAGTCCTTGCTTACTTTCCAACCTGCATCTTCTTCTGCTAGAACTGAAAGTAGTGAAGGAACTGAAGGGGTGTTAGGTACTTGGGTGTTTGATCAAGACTTGATAAGGAAAGCCTTAGCTGAGATGATTATTTTGGATGAATTGCCTTTTAGGATTGTTGAGGGACAAGGGTTTAGAAAGTTTGTGTTAGTTTGCTGTCCTAGGTTTAAAATTCCTTCAAGATGGACTATCAGTAGGGACATTTTCAAGATATTTTCTGATGAGATGGTGAACTTGAAAAAGTCCTTTAGGACTAGTAGTCAGAGGGTCAGTATCACAACTGATACATGGACCTCAGTCCAGATAATAAACTACATGTTCATAACTGCACATTTCATTGACAGTGAGTGGAAGCTCCAAAAGAAAATCATTTAATTTGTTCCTATCTATTCCCACAAGGGGGAAAGTATTGCAAAGGCTTTAGAAAGTCGTCTTTTGGACTAGGGTCTAAACACTAGTACAGATCTGATCATTTGCTACTGTTGTAAATGACATTTAGCTACTGTTATACAACAGTCGCAGATACGAGCGTCACAAAAAGCCTCGGACATTACGCGACTGTTGTGAAACAGTCGCGAATTGGGTACTAATTCGCGACTGTTCTTGATGTCAAACAGTCGCGGATTGTATTTTTATTTATTTTTTATTTTCTTTATTCAGTGGTCTTCCGCGACTGTTTTAACATAGAAACAGTCGCGGAATAATTTTTTTTTTAAATTATTTAATTTATTTTTGTTAAATTCACTATTTTTTTTTTTATAATTCTTGTACCTGTTACAGTTTAAGTCCTACACAACACAATTTATCTATCAATGCACTACTTTATATCACCACACTTTAATATCATTTTTTTTTTGAAAGTCACACTTTAATATCATAGAAACACTACAATACTTTTAACACAAAACAATCATCAATACTTTAACAAAATGCACTTGAACACAATACTATCATCAAAACACAATACTACTTTATATCCTCGATTACACTTTAATATAATAATATCATCAAAACATGCACAAAACAATACTATCATCAAAACAAAACTATTTATCAATAAAACAAAAGTTACACGCACTCCGAAAAGAAGTATTTTGCCCATTGCTCCCGAATCTCATTTATGTCATTGATGGAGTACGGACTATCGCTTTCAAATGCCTACAAAAAAATTTAAGTAATCAAATTTATGTTAATTAATAAAATATAACTTAACTGTACTATACATAGTTGTATTTAAATTCACTTACCTTATCCAAATCATCAATAGATGAATATTTTGTCACGATATCAAACATGTATCGCATGACATAATATCCACACTCATAATCTCCAGGTTGTATCGGGCACTACAAAATTCATATATATATTATTAATTTAAGCAATTTATTGTAATTCATAATATCACACTAATTAAAACTTAAATTCAATTTCTATACATACTTTGCATGGCTTCCAATCGATGTTCTTAATTCGTCCATTCGTAGGAACAGAGCGAAATGCCCTATATTAATTATAAACATACATAAAAATTTATAAATAATATAATAGAAGTTAAAATACTTATATAAATAATAAGATATTTACTTACAAATTAATAGAAGCTTTAATTTCACCAATGTCGCGATCAGAAGGCAAGGGATCCAAGAAACATACGCTTTTTGAGCGCATGCAAATCACCAAAAGTAACCAATGTGATCTACATTTAAAAAACACACATACATATTAAAAATTTAATACCTAATACTTGAAATAATACTAATAAAGTAAAAGAACAATTTCATACTCTTGATGATATGGTGCTAAAATAAATTGTTTATCTTTGTTCTGCTCCATGACGTGGATGAAATATGATATAACATTGGTGGCATTCCGTTTAAGCATACTGTTGCAAATCTGAGTCGGACAAACATACCCGATTGACCTAACTTTAAACTTATTGCACAACCGATTAAGAAATCTGAAAATTAAGAAATAATTAATAAGAAATTTCAATAAATATAAAAAACATATATATAAAATTAATACAAGAATAATTTTATTTGTTTAAAAAAAAAAACTTACAATATAAACACTTGTATGATTGAGACGTCTAGCCAATTCATCAGCATCAAATCCTTTATATCTTTCATCATCACAAAAATAGAACTTGTGTTTCTATGATGAAAGATTTCTTCATTCAATCCCAACTCAATATAATCTTTATCAGATGGAAAGCTTTTCAATGCATTGACTAAATACTTGCAATTGTCCCCCAAGTGTTGTAAGACATCATCATCAACAAGGGGAGGTTGTGTACCAGTAGCGGATAGATCACCACTTTGGTCTGTTAGTTTCTTATTTTGTTTTGGCAAACTCTACAAGTATAAAATAATTGTAATTTTACTAACATTTTAAGCAACGAAAACTAACTTAATAATAACTAAATAAAAGAATGCATACCTCATCTAAAGTCACTAAATGCATAGGCCACTGTACAAAGTTACCAATGACATCTACTATAGTGACATACTGCTGATATGGCATAGGGAGATTAAATTGCTCTCGACCTTCAATCACGTCATCCACCCAAACTCTGACACAGTTATGAAACAATGGTTGACGATTCACCAAAGTCTCATCTGTAGTTGGGTGAGCCATACCCTTTGCAACAACAATTGATTTGCCATCGAGACAAACTGCTAGTGAACACCTTGTGGGAGTCTATTCATAAAAAACGTGTGTTAATCTTAATCTAACAAGAAATAATATTTTGATATAAGAAATAACTTTTGATATTACCTTAATTGTTGCAACTGGATATGTGTCAACTAAATGACAACTGCTACGAGTATGCGGTTGATCACAAAGCGGTGAATCACTTTGAGGAGTTCCAGCCAAGACCCCTTGTGAAAATAGATGTGTCCCCACCATGTTGTTCATCAGAAACTTGAGTTGCTGGTCCATGGTATCAATCCTGGGTTTCATCTGTGCTTCCACCTCTGTCATTATATCTTGCCTACATTTCTCTAACATTTGTTTGACAGCTTCTTCTGTATAAACCCCACGCGATGTGCTTTGTTTCCGATCTGGTCTACCAAACACTCCTTGGATGGTAGAGTAACTTCCAACTCCTCTTGCAGAACCTGGATGATCATCCTTTCCAAGAACTACTGACAATATGTCATGTTGTCATTTTGGCTCAAATGTCCCTTGATTAATTTCTTCACATTTTTCTACCTGTTCGAACAAATAAGAGAAGTCAAATATTAATATTTTTTATAAATATTATGTATTATTATGACATTTTTTTGAACAAAAAAATATAATACTTACAATTTTATGAAGCACTTCTTGTGTTTTTTCATTTGGAATAAAGTAACTTCCATCATCTGCTTTTTTTGTTCTTGCTCGTATCCAATCAAAGCTACGATCATTAGACATCAAAGATGAGCTAACTAACTCACACGAAGACTGTGAAGATAGAGGGTCTGATTTCATCCACTCTTGTCGTTTCCTCACATATCCACTAGAACCTAAGAAGTGTGGATGCTCATTTAACGCCTGCATTTCCCTTGCCTTTTGACTTTTTTCCTATGATTTCACTAACATGTTAATATTTATTTTTTTGTTGAATAACATAGTAATATTCATAAAGCACTTTACTTATAACTAAATGAGCTAAATTTACCTTAAACTCTTTACTTTGCCGATTTGCTACAAACCTCGCCCATTGTTCATCACTCAAGAACGAATAAAGTTGTGTAGGAGAAGTATACTTTTTGTGCTTCTTGTGAACATAATCACGTAACAATCTACTCTTAAAGTCTTTCCATCTCCCCGATGCAATTTTCAAAACCACTGACTTCTTTGACTCATCTTGAATACCAAACCGCCCCTGAATAATAACATGCACATTATATATATATATATATATATATATATATATATATATATATATATATATCAATATTAATATAAAGTTATTGAATATACCTTAACATCTTCCCAAATGATATCTTTAAGCCTTTGTTCTACTTGACGCCAAGTTTTGATATTGATATCAACACGAGTACGAACCAAACTCCCAATGTATGAAACAAAGTTCGAGCCATTTTCCCCGCCTATCCTACCAGACTCATCAATCTGAACTGAAAGTTCTTCAGGCTTCTTTTTTTTCAATTTGTTGCATGTTGTAGGCCCTCTTTTTTTACGTTCAGTATTTAAAGTAGATTGATCGGTCATGATTATTTATATATACCTGCACAAACAAAAAAATTGTTAGTAAACATGCTAAATTGCATTTTAACCCGAGTAAAATACCCCTAAAATAAATTATTTAACAATTTATAGACCTAACTATAAAACATTATGATGTCCGATTGTCAACCCACAATCCTTCTTCATGGTCGCTACGCATATAACTTATTTCAAAGTTATCTTCTTCTAAAGGTAAAGACTGAACACCAATAGAGAAGGGAGGAGTTTCATCAAAATGATCATACTCTTCTTCATCCACAACATCACCAACACCAACAATAGATTTTTTGCCTTGTAACACAATTGACCATTTATTATCAATAGGATCAGAAACATAAAACACTTGTTTTGCTTGAGATGCAAGTATGAATGGTTCATCATGATAACCCAATCGTTCAAAATCAACCAAAGTAAAACCCAATTCATCTATCCGAACGCCTCTTCTATTATCAACCCAACTACATCGGAATAGAGGAATTTTAAAGACTTTGTAATCAAGTTCCCAAATTTCTTCAATCACACCATAATAAGACATAGCAGCATCAATCGATTTAGTATCTTTAGCACTTGAATAATCTTTTGATAATGCTACTTGTGTAACCCCACTATTTTGCACCACACTCTTTTCATCTTGTCGTTTGGTGTAAAATGTATATCCATTTATGTCATAAGCTTCATAACAGCTCACAAGAAAATCAGGTCCATATGCTAACCATTTGATGGTTTCACTGACATTATTTGGCACTTGAGATAACTCTTTCATCACCGTATCTTTAAACCATGTGATGAATGTGCGATTGTGTTCAATTGCCACCCATCTTTCACCTTTTAAAGGATTTTGTTGTCTTATAAGAGACATGTGTTGGTCTAAGTATGGATGGACCTCAGAAAGGTGTTGCAATACGAGATGGTGTGCCTTATCTCGCAACTGCAAAGGTGGAGAAAATGATTTGTACCCAATAGTACCTTTCCCGGTGAGTCTTCCTTCATGACGAGATCTGGGAACACCAATAGACTCAACATTAGCTAAATAGTCAGTACAAAAATCAATGACTTCTTCAGCACCATAACCTTCAATTATACTCCCTTCAAGTCGATACCGGTTTCTCACATATCCTTTCAATATTCCCATATATCTTTCAAACGGATACATGTACCTCATAAAAACCAGACCACACATCTTAATTTCCCTCACCAAATGAACAATCAAGTGGACCATAATATCAAAAAAAGATGGAGGAAAATACATTTCAAATTGACACAAAGTAACAACCACATCAGCTTGCAGATCATCTAACACATCCAGATCAATAACTTTACTGCAAATAGCATTGAAAAAGAAACAAAGTTTTGTAATAGCATGTCTAACATGTTTCGGTAAGATGTTTCGAATTGCAATAGGTAACATGTGCTGCATTAATACATGACAGTCATGAGACTTCATGCCAACCAACTTAAGGTCCTTCATCGACACAAGTTTCTTAATATTCGACGAATAACCAGAAGGAACCTTGACACCATTTAAATAGGCACAAAAACTTGTTTTCTCTTTTTTGGATAAAGTATGACAAGCTGGAGGTAAGTACGTTCGCTTTCCTGACTCTTGTGGTGCTAGCTTATCCCGTATTCCCATTTCAATCATATCCTTTCTAGCCTTAACACCATCTTTCGTCTTCCCTTGAATGTTCAACAGTGTCCCAATAATGCTGTCACAAACATTTTTCTCGACATGCATAACATCAAGACAATGTCTAACTGATAAATGCTTCCAAATAAGGTAGATCCCAAAATATAGACCTCTTCTTCCAAGGAGTCTTTTGAGAAGTCTTACAAGTCTTACCAAAATTAGCATCAACATTCTTAACACTTTCATATATTGCATGTCCAGAATAAAGGCAAACGAGCTACTTTAGTCTCAGATTTTCCATTAAAAGCCTTTTTCTTCTTCCGATAAGGATGATCAGTAGGGAGAAATGTCCTGTGGCTCATGAACACATTCTTTCTACTGTTACTCAACCATAGACTGGGAGTTTCATCTTTGCAAATTGGACATGCCTTAGCTCCTTTAGTAGTATAACCCGATAGGTTACCATATGCTGGGAAATCATTTATTGTGCAAAAGATCATTGCACGTAAAGTAAAGCTGCTTCGACTATAAGCATCATACACCGGCACACCTTCATTCCACAGCATCTTTAAATCCTCAATAAGCGGTGCTAGATATACATCAATGTCATTTCCTGGTTGTTTAGACCCTGATATCAACAACGACAACATGATATATTTTCTTTTCATGCACAACCAAGGTGGAAGATTGTAAACTACTAAAAGAACAGGCCAAGTACTATGTCGACTGCTCATGTTACCATGAGGATTCATTCCATCAGTACACAGTCCAAGTCTAAGATTTCTATTTTCAGAACCGAAATCAGGCCACCTCCTATCAATATTCCTCCATTGCGGTGAATCAGCCGGATGTCTCAATTTTCCATCTTCTTTTCTCCCAATAGCATGCCATTGCAAATTTTTTGCCTCTCTTGGATTAGCAAACATGCGTTTAAATCTTGGTATTACAGGTAAATACCATAATACTTTGGCTGGGGGACCTTTCTTATTCTCACACGCATCTTTGTTTTTATAACGTGATGCTCCACACTTTGGACACACATTCAAGTCTTTGTAATCTTTCCTATACAAAATACAATCATTTGGACATGCATGTATCTTCTCAATGTCCATACTCAAAGGACACAACATTTTTTTTGCTTCGTAAGTTGAATTAGGAAGTTCATTGTCACCAGGAAGCATGTCTTTTAGTAGTTCTAATAATCCTGTGAAACTCTTACCACTCCATCCATTTTTTGCTTTTAAATTATATAATTTAAGCACACCAGATAACTTAGTAAATTTAGTACTTCCAGGGAACAAAGGTTTTTCAGCATTGTCAAACAAACTTTTAAATTCATGAGGCATTTCACTAAAATCTTCTTGTACATCACGCATCATTTCATCTATTCGGTCATTATCTTCATCATCCTCATCATTGCTAACATGAGATGCATTATTCTTCTTATTATCTTCCTGAGTTTGACAATTTGCTTGAGTTTCACTTTGTGCATGAGTTTCCTTACTTGCACTTGTACTAGGAAGTAAGCTTTCACCATGCCATATCCATCTTTTGTACCCTTCCTTAAAACCACGGCGAATCAAATGATCCATCACTTCTTCGGAACTACGATATCTTTTAAAATTATTATAATCGCAACACGGACAGACAATAAAGTCTTCCGCCTTTTTACTCCTATTTTCTTCAGCATATTGTATAAACTCTTGAACCCCTTGAATATATTTGAATGTAGTGCGTTTTTCATACATCCAACTCCGATCCATATCTGTAAATTCATAATATGCTACTCTAAGTACTATGGAGATATGGATACGCAATGATGGATGTAATTATAAACGATATTAGGTGATTTGAATTGAAATCAAATTACCTAATTCGTAATCAAAATACCTAATGTATCATCGAAGTATACATAACTCATAAGCAAATTCAATATATATACCTGACTAATAAAATACCTAATTTGTCAAGCTACCTAATTCATCAAAGAACCTAATTTGTAATTAAAGAACCTCATTAGTCTAGGGCAAGAGGGTAAGAATTAATAGGAAATAGACAAGAGACTAACAATATTTAGTCTAGGGCAAGAGGGTAAGAATTTAGACAAACCTTCTTCACTGCAGCATCAATATTTTTTTTCCATAGCCAATTGTAAATGTAACAAGATATCTTGGCTTGGTGATCAAGTCCTGCAGAACCATAATCATATCATTTACTAATAAAATAATGTTCCTTTGAAAACTTTTATAGAATGAAAGAGAATCATCTGCCAAAGCACAATGGACTAACTAAATGCATAATAGAAATGGATTGTCATGTACTTAATGCTGATTTTCTTTTTAATTATGTCATTTTTTTTTAAGTGGGGAACATTTATTCCATCATCATGTACTTAATTACTATTTTCTCTCAGATTTTCATTTTTCAAGTCCTATGGATCCAAATGAGCTCAAGACACTCCCAACTCCGAGTGTGTGCTATACTTGGAGCCTATCAAGACTCCCCCATCTTAGCGCAAGCCAGAATGGGCCCCTAAGGCTATAAACTACCTAAGAATTTCTTCTAGAGTAGCTTTTTGCCTCAAGATGCAAGATATGCACATAGCTAAAGCTTGGGAGCTCATAAAGCAAACAAATAATGATCTTCATCTTCAAGCTTCCACCTACCTGCAAAACAAATCAATGGCTTCATCTCTACACAAGTGTAGATCCACCAAACAATATCTGCACAGTGTTTAACTGCCAGTTCCCACATCAAGCTGATGCCCTCAGAGACTGCCCAGCTAGCAGCCCATCATTGGGCCAAGGGGAGCATAGATCTTAGCTAAATAGCCTCATAGATCCATCCTCCCATGTATACTCTAAATTTAATTATGTCATTTAACAATTATAAATTTCAATACCATACTGGATTATAACAACTCTGGTTATTGATTGCAATGACGTAAACCGAGTCACTAAAGTCTTGTCAAGAGCAACAGACTAAAATATTGCAGTCACTAAAGTCCGTACCGAGGCAGTGGTACAGACTAAACAACAACGATGACAGACAAAGAGTGTTGAAAAATGAAAACTCATTGAATTCACACCAACCCACAACTCTGATATTTGCAGTAAACACTGCTATCTCATAATCAATTAGCAAAGCTAAGCATCAATGTCTCCTAATCTTTTATTACACTTACCTACCATATATGCATGTATCCACCTTTTAAACTCTAATCTCTACCAACAACAACATTAAACATACTACTATACGAGGATGTATTATTTTTAAAATATTACATACTACACTGCACAGAAGATGACAGATGGTGATCATCATTCTTGTTGTCAAATTTAATAAAAACAAAACATGAAATAATTATCTGCTTGATCCCACAGCCAGTTCAGTGGGAGGAGGGAATTGAAACCCCCTTTTCACACCCAAAAGTTGCCCAACTTTGTGTGCCCAAATGCAAATGGTACGAGCCTGAGATCAGCTCAATCAAGAGGCTATAGTTCCCAACTTTATTTGTGTATGTAATAATAACAATGAATAAAGAAATCAAGAACCACAATGTGGTCCCTGGAATTGGTTTTTGTTTTGATTGGGAAATGGCAGGACTGCAATCAATAATGAAAAGGACTACTTTCATTTTTTACTGCTAAATGATATCTCTATGTTGATTCACAGGGTCGGATGATTTATACAATTTGGTGAGTTTGTCGTCTAACGAATGTTAATGGGGGAGGGACGATCCTTATACCAGTGCTTTTTCCAGTCCTTATACCATAAAATATTGCAATGCTTTATTTGCCCAGCTTGCAGAATTAAAAAGCCAGGACCATCAACGGATGCTAGAAAGGCATTGCCATGGCAAATGTCTACCCCTCCCCAAAAAATCATGGGGGCAAAAAAATCTGAAAATTAAAAAAAAATGGAAATAGCAGACAATTAACAAACAAGCAATTCCGGCAGAAGTTTACTCACCTCAGTTTCCAGTCAAAATAGCAAGTCGAAGTTAACGGGATCCTGAGAGACTCAACCGACTGCAAAGCACAGGGTTGGATGTTTTTCCAACTGAAATTTTCATATGACAATAAAATTATTTTAAAGTGAAATATGTTCCTACATAAGCTAATTGTGGGGATAAACAATACATATCATGCCAGTTCTGTCATAATAATTTAACCATGTCACTTTCTGGGCATATTTAATGTTATAGATTTATAGGCCAAAAGGGTTATGGTAAGGACTGCAAGAAAAAAGAATGGAGGACTGCAAGAAAAAAGAGTGGTGCAATGTACAGTTAATCCAACTGGATTTAAAGTTAGATATTACAAGAGACATGAATTTAACAGTTAATAAAAGCCCTGCCTTCACTAATTCTAAACTGCCATTTGTATTTTATTATACTCCTCAGCAAAGAAAAAAGATAGGTAATGAAAGGTCATTGAGAACTATTTTTTTTTTTTTCAATCAAATGCCTCAACATAAATCAAGACAAGTTTATTATCTACCACATTGAACTACAAGTCTACAACCAAGCACCTAGGAACTACTTTAAAACAATATGCTAAGCAAATATAAGAAACACATGCCACAAGTACGTAATCAAATTTCATTACATTGCAAGGACATGTCAACATAAACTCTTCACTTCCAAATCACATTTGTGTGCACAGAGATCAAATAAATTCATAAGTTTGATTGTGCATACAACTAAACATTTTAGTTAATAGTCCAAAAACAAACAGAAAAATGTCAATAATTATTACTCCGTAATGAAGTAAACTAGTCTATCTAAAGTAACTAATTGTATTAAAAACACCAGAGCTAGGAAATAAAATGTTCATTTCATTAAATTTAGTGAAGGAGAGGCAGAGACCTTAGTCATTTCTGATGATGAAAATGATCGGCATCAAGCTCCTTGACTGGGAGACTTGGTAACCCCGCTGCTTACGGTGAAAGAGAGGCAGAGTCCTTAGTCGTTTCTAAACCCTAAACCTAATAAAATTAAAATTAAAAATAAATAAATAAATGAAGAACAAACCTGTGATGGAGGCAGTGACGGTGGCTGTGGTGGGCGGAGACAGTGACGCTGGGTGTGGTGGGCGGAGGCAGTGACGGTAATGGTGGCTGTGGCGGGCAGATCGGAGGCAGTGACGAGCTGTGGAGATGGCTTTCGCGTCGGCTGCCGGAGGAAAGGGCGTTCGTCGTTCAGCGTAAATGTGGGAGCTTCGTTCTTCTTCGACGGGGCTTTCTCTTTCTTCCTTCGTTCGATTTGTTTGTTCGATAAGGAGTGGTGTAGCTAGGGTTTTAGATTGATATTTTGCTACAGTTTCTAGAAGTAACAGTGGCGAAATAAAAATGAATTGTAATTAATTATTTTTAAAATACATTCCGCCACCGTTTCCAAGGGAAACGGTAGAGTTTTATTTTTCTTTTCCGCCACTGTTTCAACTAGAAACGGTAGCGGAATCTTAAAGCGTTATTTTAATTTTTTAATCCGCATCCATTACAACTAAGAACAGTGGCGGATTATCTATCAATTATTACGAAATTGCCACCGCGAATTTTTTAATTAAGAATACACTACTGTTTTTTTAACAACAGTAGCTAAATGTCAGTCTCCTATGCCCTATTTTGTACTAGTGAAAATCAATTTTCAGTGTCACAGTTGATAATGCTTCCAGCAATGATACTGCCCTAGGATTCTTGAAGAAGAAGTTGGTGTCTTGGGGTTGTGATTCTGATTATGTTTCTGTTGGGAAACCTCAAGCATTATTGAAATCTCAGATTAAGAAACAAAGATTAGGTAGTGGTGATATGTCAATGAAAAGAACTGAGTTGGAGGTGTATTTGTCTGAGGTCATTGTGGATGGGGAGGATTCTTTTGACCTTCTAAGATGGTGGAAGTTGAATTCTGATAGGTTCCCTGTGTTTTCTAAAATGGCAAGGGATGTACTTGCTGTTCCAATCTCTACTGTTGCATCTGAATCCTCATTCAGTACCTGTGGCAGGGTACTAGATGCCTTTAGGAGTTCCCTAACTCCTAAGATTGTTGAGGCACTTGTGTGTGCACAGGATTGATTGAGGTTAACCAATCAACCAATCTCTGTTGATGAAAACATTGATGATGTTTAAAGGATTGAGAAAGGTAAATACTGAAAATTTACATTTTGTAACTTATAAGTTATAACTATAAAGTATAGACTATTACTTCTTTTAACTTACACTTGTATTTTTTTTTTTTTTTTTTTTTTGCTGAGTTGTGCAGCACATCCAGCGCTGGAGTTGGATCATTGCCTACAATACCTGTATGGTTATATACTTATATATTCAATTATTCATTCAATCATTCTGAATTTCTATTTAAACCATAAGTCCATAAATCATTTCTGTATTTATTTTGATATTTGCTGAATGATAAATATGTGATATGTCTGTATCATTGCATGTGTATCAATGTCCCTCAGTCCCTCATTCCTTGGCTGGGAACTGGAAAGTGTTCAATGGCTTGGTGACATTTTAAATGTTGCTGCCATTGCGCATTTGAGCTCAGGTATCACTGATTCAGTAATCCTTTTTTGTCTTTGACACCTGAATGATGAATGGTGTCTGGTAATGTATATGGCTTCACTTCTCTCCCTATCTCTCTTATTGTTAATTACTTAATCATCTTTGGCCCCTTATGCAATGATGATACTTCCACCATATTGTCATTCATGTTCAATTGTTTAAAGTTTAAATATTTTAAATCTTATAAAAGTTTTAATTTGTGTTATAACTTATCAGGAAGAGGAACATCCAAATATGTTATTATCATATTAGAGTATTTCAATATAGACATATAGTGGTATTCTTTTGTGGAGTTGTAAATGCTGAATGGCTGAATGCTGAGGCTTGGTGGCTTGGAGTTTGGACTTTGGACTTTGGAGGCTTGGAGCAATGGAGCTTGACAGCTTGTAGTGACTGAATTTCACTTTTGTATTTTTATATGCTTAATGCTTATTCTGTAAATTCAAGTCTGTTAGTTTGTACCAATTAATCAAGTATCATTTATCATTGTATGTTTTGAAGTTAGAAATGTAAATTTTAATTTAAGTTTGTATGTTTCTAAATAGTTTGTAAGTGTGAAGTGTCTAACTGCTTAAGTAGTTCAGTATTTAGTAGTTAAGTTTGTAAAATCAGTTCTTTTAATTAAATAAATTTATTATTTTTGCACTTACAATTTTATTATAAATAAATAACCGATTTATTCGACAGTTTAAACGGATATCCGTTCGATAATTCGGTTGAATATCCGACGGATTTGGGTTACAAAATAAATAGATAGGGGCTCGAATAGTGTATCCGAAATCCGATCGGTGTGGACTTCCGTGAACCCGGACCGCCGAACCCGTCCGCTGCATAGCTCTAGATATTATATATGTTATATATAATCGCGGAAAAGAAAAAGTGATTAGTAAATTTTAAATTTGAGAATTGTGGTTGGAACAACTTTGAATAACTTAGAGGTCCATCATTGCAGTGCAACTTCTTTACAAGTATACCCATTTGATGACAATGTTACGGTTGGACTATCCCATTGTTTCATCTAGGGGTTTAAATAAATCCAGCGGAATCAATTTTAAATAGTCAAAATTTGAAATTTTATTTAATTTGAAAAAAAAAAACTCGAGCTCGATTTTAATTCGAGCTATTAGAATTGGATGGGTTGAATGCCTTTACTATTTAATTTTTTAAAGAATAATAATAATAATAATAATAATAACAACAATAATAATAATAACAATAATAATAATAATAACAACAACAACAACAACAACAATAATAATAATAATAATAATAATAATAATAATAATAATAAATAATAATAATAATAATAAGTATTTTACATCCAAATAGACAAAAGATCATAACAAACTCATTACATCTTGATTATAACTTTTTTTTTTTTTTTTTTTTTTTTTTTTTGAAAGTTACTGGCTCTATTACATTGTAGTATCTGTTCATATACTTTCTCAACCTACTGAAACACAAAGAACCAATAACGCCTCCACATCCTGATTATAACTAATTTATAACATATAAACATAATATATAATTAAATTTGTAATATTGTATTTATATTAAGTATAAAATATATAAAATATAAAAAGCTCGATTATGTTTACAAATTGCTCGAGCTGAGTATTATAAGACTCGATTCGTTACTCGAACTACTCTAGCTCGAGCTCGGCTCGGCTCAACAACAATACAGTGGAATTGAATTCAAGTACTTTAACTCATTTATTTCTATAATTTCAACTGTTCTATAGTTATAATTTTTTACTAACAGAGTAATGAACCCTTTTAGTTATGAGACAATACTAATGTCATTATTATCATTCTAATATTTCAAGGCCACCACATCAGATCGCCATCCTAAATGCAACCCTATATTTTATCACATTTCTAATTTCGTTTGAATATAAAACATAATTCAGAAGCTCAATATCACTGTGATTTTAAGCATTTAATTACATGATGTATTAATGTTACAGCCTTTGGCATGAAAAAACCAATATAGTATTAGAGATACAATTGTTATCAATTGGTTGGTATGTCCGAGTGGTTAAGGAGATAGACTTGAAATTTGTTGGGTTTGGCCTGCCCTGGTTCAATCCTGCTGCCGATGATTTACTTCTGTTTTGCCTGCGTAACAGATCTTGGAGAGAACAACTATATATCTAATATATATCAAGCCTGCGTAACAGATCTTGGAGAAAACAATTATATATCTAATATATATAAAGCCTGCCTGCGTAACTATATATCTAATATATATAAAGCCTGCGTAACTAACAGATCTTGGAGAGAATATCTAATATATATAAAGCCTATCTGCGTAAGAGATCTTGGAGAAAACACAGATCTTGGAGAAACAACTATATATCTAATATATATAAAGCCTGCGTAACAGATCTTGGAGAAACAACTATATATCTAATATATATCAAGCCTGTTTTATATATCTAATATATATAAAGCCTGCGTAACAGATCTTGGAGAAACAACTATATATCTAATATATATCAAGCCTGCGTAACAGATCTTGGAGAAAACAACTAGAAACAACTATATATCTAATATATATAAAGCCTGCTTGCGTAACAGATCTTGGAGAGAACAACTATATATCTAATCTATATAAAGCCTCAGGATTAGCCAATTTGGGATCTATTTTTTTTTTTAATTGAATTTATTACATTGTAGTATCTGTTCATCTACTTTCTCAACCAAGCACAAGCCTCCACTGAGGCTCAATATCATGACCTTCCATATAAAAGAGTCACTACACGCCATCTGAGCACAAGGTGCTTGGCTGTGATCTATATATATATATATATATATATATATATATATATATATATCTATATATATATATATATATATATATATATATAAAATAATGAAATTATACTCTTATTGGTCGAAATGGTATGCTTCATTTTTATTTTTGTGGTCTGTGTATATAATTTTTATTTTTGAAATGGTTTGCTTCATTTTTTCCATGTATTTTAATGGAACCTTAAAGAGTATAAAGATAGAGAGATTGATGCAAGGTTTTATAGTGGTTCGAGAAATACCCTATTCCACTTGTCTTCTTAACAAATGAGGGATTTCACTCATATTTATCACCAAATAGAACTAACAACTCCACTAAGACAATTGAGAATGACTTTCTTCACCAAGTTACATGTTCTTCATTGCTACACCTGTTGGTGATAATGAACCACAATCAATTTAATATCCTAAAAATAATATTTATATATACACACACAAGTATATAAAATATTATTGGATATTTATCCGAAATATATATATACACACAAATATACATAAACCGGATCCAAAGGTTATATATACATGTATATCTACGAAAAAGATATACCAATATATATCACCCAAAATTGAAACTAATAATCCTCAGATTATAAGTCCAATCCAACTAATATATCAAAAGAGGGAAAATGGATTTTTGCTTAAAAGCATAATCCAAACAAGAAAGAAGGAGAAGGAAGAAAGAAATGTACGAGTTAGGCGAGTGCCTTTCTTTCCTTAAAACCTTATTTGCCACCTTCCAAAAGTGCTAGGAGCGTTGTGGCCTAGGTCTCCCAGGATAAAACGTACAACGGTTCGACGTTTGAGCACCCAAACGAACGAACCCGGCGAACAAGAGCGCGGGCAAAACACAGCTTCAAGAATGGAGTAGAA